CAGTGGATCCAATGTGTCGTATAGCTTGTGGTGTCAAGAGGGTTTTGGTGTCGATGACCATGGGACCCTTAAGATGCTCAACAGCTCTTTGGAAGAGACAAGATCTGCTTGGCTACATGGGGAAAAGTTATATTCAGCAGCAAGCTGGCCAGCTGAAACTGAAGTGGATCTTTGTTAGGTAGACATGTAAACAACTAAATGCCTGTAGAGCATGTTCTAGGAGAAAGCTTTCAAGCGTGTAGTAGCGAATTAGCACACTTGGCTGCCTCTCTGAAGTGCCCCTGCACTGATGTGAGCAGAATGGAGAGCAAACAGGAGTTAGAAGTCTCTGTAGTTACAGGATTTTGACTTCATAGGGGATAATGGGGACATGGGGGATCTTCATACAGGAATGATCTCTGTGCTGTGCCTTTCTGTTGTGATTTCAGCTGTGACACACTTTGTGTTTGCTAATATTTCTCTAAATTTTATGGTCCTTCATCTCCTGATCTTCTGACAAACTGGTAACTATACTAGGTGGAAAATCTGATTGTTTTCTCCCTGCAGTCAATTAAATACTCATCACAATAATACAGGCTATTTTGCAACAAGGCTTCTAGGGTGTTTGAGTGGACTTATTATAGTCTCTCACCTTGATGTAATACAGGATACATAGTAAATGACATGGGTTTTAAGTAAAAGTTTTGTGAAATACTGCTTCATGGATACTTGTAGATGGACCAGTAAATGAAACAGAAAATAATCTGAAATTATCTGTAAGCATGAAGAGTTATATAACATATCTTTACTTGCGATACCATTTTCAGTATTATTTATGCCAGTGTCACTATAGATGTGATTTATATGCTGTAGACCCATTGCTAGGGTACAGAATCAATATGGAGTATTACTGCAAATCAAGATGTTTAGGATGGTTCTGGATTTTGCTTGAAAGTGTATATAAAAACAAGGAGTGAATGGCATGATAAACTTTTTTTCTTTGCCTGTTGTGCCTTTCCTCTCCTTCCCCATTTGGCTGCTATTTGAGATTATCATCTCTTCTAATATCTGAAAGCAGCAATATCTAGGAAAAAGAATGTAAGTAAACACAGACTCCTGTAGGCATTTTTTCCCAGCTTTACAGCTAGTATGGGTAGTTTTGGATAAAATGGAAGCATGTTAAGAAAATGAGGCTTGTGGCCTAAGAGACAACCAACATAGTAGAAAATAAAACTATGAATATAAAATGTAGTAGAATATGAATGTAGCAGAATATAAAAATATGCATTTTGCTTTATCCTTTGGCCAAAGGGAAGTAGGTCATACATGACATTTAAAGGCTGAATGTTAAAGTAGATAATTAAGTGTTAAATTTCTAAACCAGTTTATGTGTTTGATATAAACAATCCCTGTTAATATTTAATTGTTAGAGGCCAAATTTAGACTATTTTTACAGTAACCTATGTAAATTTTCAGTCTTTTCAACAACATGCTCTGAGTTTACCTCTGTGTCGCATATTCATGAAGCACATCCAACTGTCTCAGTGAAGACTTATCTTACTGTCAACATGTCTGTGCCCCTAATTCCAAGCTGATATTGTTGATACTGCTTCCAAGAATCCAAATCTCATTTTTAACAAGTACAGTGAATGACTTCATGTTTACTGAGTTGAAATTTCTCAAGCAAATCAACATCCCAAAAATGCTATTTTAATTTGCATCAAATTAGTCCCACTATGAAATGTTAAATTCAAGTCGTCCATCTTCTAAATTCTCAATGGGCCAGGTGAGTTAGATAATGTATACAGAATTTTTTTCAAGGATTCTGTTAGGTGTCATCCTGCCATTTTATATGCCATTCTTCCTGTTTGTTCAAAGCAAACAAGTAGACTTTCAAGCAGAAAGGAAAAATCTATATCTGAATTAATTTCAGAACAAACTATACTCCCTTCTATGAAAAAAAACCTTTTTAGTTTATTTTTATAAACTCATATGGCTCCACAACTATTCTCAGGAACCTACCTACAGTAACAGCTTCTTGTTATGGCTAAGTTTGTATGCTTATTCTACCTCTCCTTCTTTGAGCTTTTTTATTTCTTATGCCAAAAAAAAAAAAAAAAAAGTTGAAAAAGTAATCCAAGGTAAAATTTCAAAGAATTTAGAGGACATAAAATGTTGCATAGTAAAAATATAAGTATAATTGTTTTGAACTTATTTATAACATAACAATTAGAATAGCATTCAAGAAATCAGTGCTATATAGGAAGGGTATGTATGTGTCATTTAATCCTCTTCAACCCAAAGGGATTAAAATACTTGTAACTTAAATATAAATCTACAAATGATTTAATACAGTTTTTGAAATAGTTTCTAAACTTCGGAAGTTATACTGTATCTCAAAACATACTTTTAACCAAAATGTCAAATACCAAGAATGAATAAAAGGTACAAAGAAGATTGGTACAAAGAAGATTTTTTTTAGAAGTAGTAGTAATTTTCCTTCTAATAAAGTATCAATCATTTTAAAAGAAAACAGAACAAAATAAAAAAACCAACAAACTAGAAGGCCAAACTTCTATCTGAAGCTGTGCTCAGAGAAAATCTATCAAAATTAATGAGAGTTCTTAAGATATCTTTAGAGAGGGGGGAGAGTTAGGTTTAGATTTGTCCATTTATCACATTTAGTTTAGGGAGAAAGAGGTATTCTGTGATTAAGATACAGGGTTGGGTGTTAAGCAATCTAAGGTAAATGTTTTACTGTAGATTTCCCATGTAATCTGTTGCAAATCATTTGAATGTTCTGGGCCTTCTCCTCCTCAGGAATGCAGGTTTTGCACTGGTGTATTTCTAGTGATACTGTTGCAGGGAATTGAGGTCCAAGAGTTTTCATTTTTCAACTATGAAATAATTGAGAAAGTGATGTTTCTTATCTGCTTATCTTTGGCTTATGGATCTTCATTAATTCATATCTATGTATTCTTCTCTGGCAAAAAGTTGTAAATGTAGCACTACAGTGCTGATATATTGATTAACTGAATACAAGAGGCAACATAGTTCCAGGAAGAAGGCAAGTGCACAGGCTTATAGGAAATACAGTCTTCATTGTCAACTTACACTAGTGCGCTGTGTAACCCTGGCAATCATTTTGCTATTCTGTACCTCTTCTTTTGTGACTCCATCTCTTCTTTTCAGAGAACAGACTTTTTTGCACAGCTATTGTATCTTAGAATTTCTTTCCTTAGTAAAATCATACTTTTCTTTATTATGGTTTCTGGGTGCCTCCTTAACACAAACAACACAGAAGTAAAACATTTTAGTTAGTTTCTCTTCAAATCTAGGGGTTTAAGTGCAAAGAGGCATGCACTGTAACAATAAAATT